GGGTACCCGACACGCTCCGGGGGATGTGGCAGAACGAGCCACGGGAAGATTGTAGTGAGCTTTACCGGACGCCTGTGTGTCAGACCTGTGTGCCACACTGGGGGATCTGCAATGCCAAAACTGAAGGGTCACGTTATGGGGAACACCCTGGGGGAGTACAACAATTCCTCTGGCAGTACAGCGTATTTCTGCTGCTACCGTGACAGGGCTCAGACAGATAAAAGCATCTCTTATTTCTGGCTGCATAAACGATTGGGACTGGAAGAGGCAGCATGGGAGCTCCCTAGACAGAAGGAATGTAAAGATGTGCACAACTCAGAAAAGTTATTAAACCTTTGCTAATATTTATTATAGCCTCTCATTGTAGCCTCCAGGTGTAGACCATTAGGAGAAATTTTGTCTAGTTTGGGGTAAGATAGCCTGTAAGACTTTGCTTCTAACCTCAGGCTCTTTCTCAGGCACTGAATGGCTTTGTTTCCACCAGTGGATTCTGTGGTGGCAGCTACTAAGCTTGTTCCCAGTTCCCAGCTGGAACACCAGAAGAACAACTTTCAGCATGAACTCATACCTGACAAAGAGGAAAGTTTAAAGGATCTCTGTGCCCAGAAGAGCCGGAGCTATTTGTATGCTCTTTCTGAAGAAAGCAGTCAACGCAGCTCCAGGCACGGGAGCCTCTGTTCAGCTGGACTGCAGAGCAAGTATCTCACCAGCCAGACCAAGACTCTGCCAGCTAAATCAGTAGCCAGACGGAAAGAAGGAGTAGACCGTGCATATCCCCTGAAACCAATTTTTCACCACAAGGGTATGAGCGTTCCAGTGGTCAACACAGCACAGCTTCGAAGTTCCCCATACATGGAGGAACCTCCAAATAGTAGGCCTAACCCAGCGAACAAAGGGAAGCCTCCAGCAGGGAGGTCTCAGCTAGCTGCAGTGCTCTCTCCTTGGGCAGCAATGCCTAAACAGTCAGCCTCCCATCTACACAGGAGAGAGCTGGCCTACATCCTAAAGTTGGAGGCAGATGGACGGAACCTGGAAGAGGAAATTCAAAAGAAAGAGGCTCTCCTCAGAGAGAAGCTGAGGAGAACAAAGGAGGAGCTTAGGAGGATTCAAAGAGAGAAGGAGCTTGTCGAGGCAGAGGAGAGAAGACACAGCGATGCGGGGAGGACCCATGAGCGAAAGGCCACAAGGCACACCGAAGAGAAAACTTCCCAAGTTGGAGCCAGGCCAGGTGATGGTGCAGCGCAGTCTGCAGAGGCCACTGTCCCCCAGCCTGGCACCACCCTTCACCCCCAAGAGCTGGCCATGGGGAAACTCAAGAAGGAGCGGCTGGTGGCCAGCAACAGCAAAATTCGAGACCGCGTAACCATGGAGCGTTTAGCCTCTTGTTCAGAGCTGGCCTTAAAACATAGCCCTTCTCCCTCTGCCCTCTCAGACCGAGGTTCTGGTGACCACTCATCCGCAGAGGTGCTGTACACACAGGCTGCCAGTGCTGCAGAGCAGGGGGGGCTGGGACAGTGCAGCTTCTGCGGACGTAAGTTTCTCTGCACCAGGCTTGAGAAGCACACGAGTATCTGCAGCAAGAGCCAAGGCACCAAGAGGAAAGTGTTTGACTCCAGCAGGGCCAGAGCTAGGGGTACAGAACTGGAGCAGTATCAGCAGTGGAAGAGCTTGGAGAGGCCTCAGGTAACATGCGGTCCCTTTGCCTCCCTCGATCCAAATCTACTGCTCATGCTCCTTCCACTTTGCCATCTAATTCTGACTGAGGTGCGAGTGCCTTCACGTGTGCCCAGGGCTAAGGGGTACAATCCAGCTATTGCCTCTGAAAGGTTCTTGCCAAATGGATGAAAAGATCCATTTGAAATCTGATAGCTGGGGGGGCGGGGTCCGAACTGACTTATCTTTGTAACATGTACTCCTGGAGAAAGCTCACTCCTTGCTGCAGTCAGGATGCAGGTGCAGGCTGGGTCTGCTGCGGTAAAGCTCTGTGGCATTAGGGGCTGCAGGGAACTTACTGAAAATCCAGGTAATAACATGGGCTATTAAAATGAAGGCAGTGGAAACACGCAGCTTTGTTCCTGCAAAGCAGCTACAGCAACTCTCTCCAGGCCCTACTGCTTGCTTTTTTGGTTATTAGAATCATAGAATGGTTTAGGTTGGAAAAGACCTTTAAGATCATCAAGTCCAACCATTAAACTAACAAACACAGCCATTCCACCACTAAACCATGTCCCTAGACACCATGTCTACCTGTCTTTTAAATACCTCCAGGGATGGGGACTCAACCACTTCCCTGTGCAGCCTGTTCCAATGCTTAACAATCCTTTTAGTGAAGAAACTTTTCCTAATGTCCAACCTAAACCTCCCCTGGCGCAACTTGAGGCCATTTTCTCTTGTACTGTTCTCAAGCTCTTTCTAACTATTGATGACTCCATCAGTATTTCCTTCAAATCCTCCTCAGTACTCATCTTTTTGATCCCCTTTGTGCGACTCAGCTTCTCGGGGAGGGTTTTACATCAACAGGGAATGCCCAGGGAGAGGTGACCAAGTTGGACCCTGAGCATAAGATTGAGAGCGGAGGAGGGGCGGGTGGCCAGCAACAGCAAAATTCGAGACCGCGTAACCATGGAGCGTTTAGCCTCTTGTTCAGAGCTGGCCTTAAAACATAGCCCTTCTCCCTCTGCCCTCTCAGACCGAGGTTCTGGTGACCACTCATCCGCAGAGGTGCTGTACACACAGGCTGCCAGTGCTGCAGAGCAGGGGGGGCTGGGACAGTGCAGCTTCTGCGGACGTAAGTTTCTCTGCACCAGGCTTGAGAAGCACACGAGTATCTGCAGCAAGAGCCAAGGCACCAAGAGGAAAGTGTTTGACTCCAGCAGGGCCAGAGCTAGGGGTACAGAACTGGAGCAGTATCAGCAGTGGAAGAGCTTGGAGAGGCCTCAGGTAACATGCGGTCCCTTTGCCTCCCTCGATCCAAATCTACTGCTCATGCTCCTTCCACTTTGCCATCTAATTCTGACTGAGGTGCGAGTGCCTTCACGTGTGCCCAGGGCTAAGGGGTACAATCCAGCTATTGCCTCTGAAAGGTTCTTGCCAAATGGATGAAAAGATCCATTTGAAATCTGATAGCTGGGGGGGCGGGGTCCGAACTGACTTATCTTTGTAACATGTACTCCTGGAGAAAGCTCACTCCTTGCTGCAGTCAGGATGCAGGTGCAGGCTGGGTCTGCTGCGGTAAAGCTCTGTGGCATTAGGGGCTGCAGGGAACTTACTGAAAATCCAGGTAATAACATGGGCTATTAAAATGAAGGCAGTGGAAACACGCAGCTTTGTTCCTGCAAAGCAGCTACAGCAACTCTCTCCAGGCCCTACTGCTTGCTTTTTTGGTTATTAGAATCATAGAATGGTTTAGGTTGGAAAAGACCTTTAAGATCATCAAGTCCAACCATTAAACTAACAAACACAGCCATTCCACCACTAAACCATGTCCCTAGACACCATGTCTACCTGTCTTTTAAATACCTCCAGGGATGGGGACTCAACCACTTCCCTGTGCAGCCTGTTCCAATGCTTAACAATCCTTTTAGTGAAGAAACTTTTCCTAATGTCCAACCTAAACCTCCCCTGGCGCAACTTGAGGCCATTTTCTCTTGTACTGTTCTCAAGCTCTTTCTAACTATTGATGACTCCATCAGTATTTCCTTCAAATCCTCCTCAGTACTCATCTTTTTGATCCCCTTTGTGCGACTCAGCTTCTCGGGGAGGGTTTTACATCAACAGGGAATGCCCAGGGAGAGGTGACCAAGTTGGACCCTGAGCATAAGATTGAGAGCGGAGGCTGACGGTGGTGCCAGTTGCTCTGACTGCCTTTCCCTTCTGCAGAATAAGCCACCCAGAAGGAACAACTGGCGACAGAAGCACGAGGTTTTCATCCAGACCCTGCGCCAGGCCCGCCAGGTGCAGCAAGTCCTCTCCAAGGGAGGGAAGGTGTCTGACCTGCCCCCGTTGCCTCCCATCGAAAACCCAGACTACGTTGCCTGCCCCTACTGCAGACGCCGATTTGCTCCCCAAGCAGCTGAGAGACATATTCCCAAATGCAAAACCATCAAGAATAGGCCCCCAGCCCCACCACAGCGGAGGCGCTGCTGAGGTGGTGTCCAGCCGCACCTCCTCCCGTGATTCCCCACCTGTTTTCTGCCAGGTTTCCAGCCACCGACACTCGCAGAACACTAGAAACACTAGAACTTGTGTACTTTGACCTGTGCCCGGGTTGCCCCATGTGGGATGCCCCTCAGGGGGCCACTTCTCCCACCCCGTGAGCTCAACATGGCGTCTCAGTGTAGGTGTAAGGCTGGCACTGTTGAGGCAGCTAACAGGGAGGAAAGGCTGTTGCTACAGGCTGTCAGCAGGACAGCAGCCAGCAGCAAACCAGCCATTGATAAGGGGCTGTTCTTCCGAACTGCATTTTTGCCTGCAGGCTAGGGAGGCTTGGGAGCTTTTTGGTTTGTTTTTTTTTTAACTAGTGATATCTGATGTTGAGAGCGCTGCTCTCCTTTAGCTCATTGGTGGCTGCAGACCCCGTTGTTTTCCTTCTCAGATGTTCACCCCTGAACCTGCTAACAGTGACAATGGTTCTGGCATTCATATTGTAGCTACCTACAAAAGACAGGGATGGGAGAGGTTCCTCTTTTTTTTTATCATCCCCCATAGAAAGGACTCTACATTCTTCAAAACTATTTAGCATTTAGATGAGGCATTTGGAAAAGTCAGAGGGAGGAAGCTCTGTAAGCAGTTCATTTTTTTTGCAGCACACAGACTGCTCTGTTCTTCCATCCTTGGTATCTGTGCTAGATGACAGGATCCAGAGCTGCTGCTGGGTCATTGCTCATGCTCCATCCTATTTGCTGTAACACTGTTCAGTTGAATAATGAAAGCTGTGTAGGTAGGTTTGTTCCACGCTTGTTCTGCAGCAGCCCAAGAGTTTATTTGGATGCTTTTCTAGATCGATGGTGACAAGGCTGGGGCTAGGTTGTAACAGCTGAAGATCTGTAACATTACTGTTTAGAAATCCGGTGTGACATTGTTTGGATTGCAAAAGGAGAACTGGGAGGAGTATTGTTAAATGCTTCCTCAACACAAGAAGCTCAGGATCAGACATGGAGTGGGTTAGAAAAGCCAGCAGCAGCAGGCACTTACCTTTCAGTCCATATATCAATTCACATGCCTAGAACAGCAGAGGTACTCCAAGCTAGCCAGGCCCTTGAGGCAACAGAACAACCATCCCAACATGTTAACTTACCACGTACAATAGCTGGGACTCAGAGTCGGGAAAGGGCGGAAGAAGAAATACTTAAGTAAAGAATAATGCCACGCAAGCTCAAAAATAGGTCGTGAATAAGCTCAGACTGGAAATTAGGTTTCTAACCAAGAGAGGAGTGAGGTCATGGAAAAAACCTTCCAAATAGATTAGCACAGGCAAGGAACCCACATTGTTTCAAGATGGACTTGGAAAAGATAGTGGAAGGGAGCACAAGGCAGGAGTTGGAAATTAAGAATCATGATACAGAGCATTTGTTCCCATCTCCAGGCTTCTGGTAGAAAGTGTGAAGAACAGATCAGTGACAGTTCTGTGCCTCAGCATATCACTTTCAGGAGCCAAGAAGGCATTTCCTTCCCACTGCAACCTTCCTACTCGGCTTCTGATTTTTTTTATTTTTTAATTTCCATCCAGAACGTTTAAGAACTGCTACAGCTAAAAAAAGCCAAACACCCCCCGCACCCAGACAGTACACTAAGGAATTTCACATCAGAGAACCTGTTAGCTGTTTCACTCGTTATGTTCAGGGTCAGATCAACAACTAGATTTAATATAAAAAAATGGAGTTTTTCTGTGGGCCAAATTGCTAGGGACCTCTAAAACACAGGGTTTGCGTCCTTCCTTGAGTCATCTGCTTATTTTCATCTTAGTTGCTGCAATGGTAAGGAATTATGACAAAAAATATCCCTTCTGCTTTCTTCTCAAGATGTAAGGTAGTTCTTGGTGATTTTCGCCTCGTGCTAGAGGTCTTTATCACACACTGTTAAAGGGTCTTTTGGGGGAAATAGGTGTCCTACAGACCCTTTTAGAGAATCATCTGCTTATAACTGATAGACAGTTCCTGCACATTTCAAAGTCCATTATTTTTCCAGATTCTGATTTTTAATAGATTAGACCAGTTCTGTCGTGTAAAAGTTGTTTTAAATGGTCACAGAATGGTTTGTGTTCTCAAAGGAAGAATGACTACTTTGTATGAGAAAGTTGCAAGAGGAAGCAAACAAGGAACAAAAAAAATCCCTGTAGCTCCTTTTGCAAGTCCTTCAGTAACACAGCAGCAGCTCATAGTAACCTAGAAAAAGATAAAAACTGCTGGATTGAACTGGACTAGTCAGAAGCTGAATATAAAGAAACCCTCCAGCCTTCAAAGGGTAGACCAGGCTCCCAAAAGAAGTTGGAGAGCTTCTGCCCTACAGATACGTAGGCAGAAATCTTGATCCCTTGGCACACCCTAAAAAAGCGTGAAGGTCCCAGAAAGAGTCAGCACTGCACTGTGCCAGTCAGGTACAAGAGTGTACGAACCTAGAGGGGAGAGAAAAGACAGACTCGAAACAATGGAGAATAATTTGCTATATCCAAATTGATTGGAGAAGCAAGCCCGATGCTCTAACTCCAGAGCTTCGAAATACAGGCTAGCAAGAGGTGACAAGAGGTAGGAAAGGGGTAAACCGGAAGCTTTATGCCAGCCCCCTTGAATTAATGAAAGGCATAACTGAATTAAACAAAGCCTAGTTCAGAAATTCAGTACCACTACCTGTCTTGCAATATTAACTCCGTTTCCCTTACACTGCGTTTTATTGACTGTGTTTAGTGGTCCCTAAAAGTCAGCAGAGTGCAAATGGTGGCTGGGGTAGACACACACAGAAAAGCTTTTGATACTAGAAAATAAATCCAGCTGTTGGGGACTTCTCTTAAGTGACAGGCAAATGACTAACGCTGAGATTGAAACTGCAGATTAAACAAAAGTTACTGAAATTAAATCACCAGGCTTTATTTGTTATCTTTGTTTCAAAGCTAACCATGGGCAGCTCACCCCTCTTTGCTGAGCTATTCTTTCAGGTCAAGGCAGACAGAGGTATCCAGAAACTCTCTGATAACTGGTTTAAAGCTTAGCAACAATTTAGCCAAAGCATCAGGCTCGGCATAGACTTGCCCTGCTGCTTTGCTGTCACAGTTAGCGTTGCCCTGGCACTAGGCAGGCTATGTTATTCTCACCAGCTCAGCTTCCTCTTCTGCTACTGCAGTAAAATCCTCCTCTCCGAGACAGGCTGCATTTTCAGTATCCGAATCTCTGGCAAATTTTAAGTCTTTAACCCAGCTCTGCCTCTCAAGACATTTCACAATTTGCTAAAAAGTTAGAAGTGACAGGCATTAAGTACAGTGTGCAGGAACAGTTGGCCCAGCAGGTGTCAGGCAGGTTCTCGCTTCTGTAGGCCTTAATGCTCAGTTGCAGCTGTTGGGAGAGAAACAGGTACTTCTTCCCTTTGAGCCTCTCTCTTCCCGTTACTCATTTCCCACTTGGCACTCAAACTGTTGAAATAAACACACACACAAAAGCCCCCTGACGTCACTAGGAGGAGATGCAGCAGCAAGAGAAAAGAGTTGTTTTGTTGTTTGTTGTTTTCTTTTTAATGAAGGGACACAGAACCTGCCTTTTTTTTTTTTCCCATAGCAAAGAACCTGCAAGCCCCTTGGCCCTGTTAGCAAAGTTTGTTGTTTTCTTTTTAATGAAGGGACACAGAACCTGCCTTTTTTTTTTTTCCCATAGCAAAGAACCTGCAAGCCCCTTGGCCCTCTTTCTGTAAGCAAAAGAAATAATCAAACAACAGAATGCCATGAAGCCAGCTGACTATATGCATATTTCCCCTTCCTCTCTCGGGGGAAAAAAACCAAAAAACAAAAACTCCAAACACAGAAGAATGAGTTTAAACATTTATTTAAACAGAAACTCCAAACCACCACACCCTTTAACCTTTCAAAAAAAGACAACGACAAACTAGTTTTTCAGCCAGAGTGTCAGAGCAGGCATAAGTTGTGTTCCACTATAACAACTCAGTAGCAATACTAGCAGGAGTCCAACACATACAGAGCTAGCACTGCAAGAAGGGGAGAAGTAAAAAGGGTTTAAAACTGCTCAAAGGCACTTCTGCCCACTTGCCCTTCCGTTTTCAGCCCAAGACGAAGGTGCTGGCTTTAAACTGCTTTTTTTGGTTGCATAGCTGGCTGGTGTGAAATCTGTGGTCTGTAACAGGCACAACCCGGATAGCGTGAATCCTCTAAGGCACATATGAGGTTGTGGAGCACGGGGCATCCTCTGTCAGGGACCCTAATCCTCCACTAGATCCAAGGGGAATCCAGTCTGTGCACCTAGCTTCCCAACTGCGGAGCATTGAGAAATGAGGATAGCAGTGCACTGCAGGAGAGCGACTCCCCTCAGCTTGGTGCTTGCTTATTGGACATGGCTCAGGCTCAACTCTTCACTCCTCAAAGGCACTGCTGCAACGTGACCAACTCAATCATTCCCAACTGCAACAACAACCCTCAAAGCCAGGACCCTAACCTGACAACCAGCTCCAGCGCACCTGGGGGAAAGGAGAGCAGTCTTGCAAGGGCAACCAAGCAACGTGGATGCGCCAGGGTGCATGACACTCGCCACCTCCCAGGTGGGTTGTGCTCCTAGCCTTCCTTCAGTAACAATGGATGGACACACTGGCACCATTCTTGCCCTGGACGCTGCACTGGAGAGACTGCACCTGATTCAGCTTCAAGATACTAGCAATAAGCACCAAAGGAGTATTTAAGGAGCATAAGTAACAAGCAGAATGGTTTGGAATCCACCTCTAGAGACAAACGGGGAACACTGGCTCCCCCGGAACAGTCTCTCAAAAGAAGTAGTCTAGGAGAGGTGATAGAACATCCGACTCCAATAGACCTAAGTCAATTCTAGTGACATGCCATCGATGGGGGTGGTTTAAGGCTAATGAAATCACAACCCCACTCTCACAGCAAAGGTGAGAGGGACTTGGGACTCCTTAGAGGCTTCATGTAAGGCAGGGGAGGCTAGCTGCTCCCAGGGATCCTACCAATCCCAAAAGCTTAGTTCAAAGGCAGTTTGCTAACAAATTTAAGGGGAATAAAATTAACCTCATTCTCTAACAGGAAATGAGGAAATCCTAAGCATCAGATCATGCCTCTTCCCATCTCCAATTTTCTTGGGAAAGCCTCTTGCTTCTAGAAAGAAGGTGAATTCCAGACAGAGACTTGATCATTCATGGTCATTGGGGAAGGCTGCATCCTGTGACCACGGCATTAATGACCTATTCTGGGTAGGAAACTGCATTCCAGCTTCATCAAAACACTGAGTGGAAAAATACTGATTCTTCCCACACCCACACAGAACGTGGGCACCAGGGGCTGAGCAGAACAGAAGCTAAGCAGGGAGCAGCTACAGGCTTACACTAAGAAACCAGAAGCTCTGGCACCCAAACCAGGTTGAACAGCTGGAGCAAGAAATGGGTGACTTAGTCTGAGGCCTGGACGCTTGTCATCTGGTTGGGAAGCAGGTGGTCTGAAACTGAGAACCAGAGATCCCATCTCAGACAGCCCCCGCTACTGCTATTGGAAACAACACCTGATTCACTCATCTCGGTGCACTGCCTGGAAGTTGGAAAGCTCAAGGCACCCAGAATAAAGCCTTTAAACTCTGTCTATACAGGCCACTGGACACAGACACATGGCCAGAAGCTGTGCCTTGAGGCCAGGGACATGCTGTCTGCCATACCTCCCTAACAGGAAGATCTCCACTGCCTCCAGAATGAGACATTCTCTGTTCCCTCTGCCCCTGAGCAGAGGGGAGCAGCCTCACTGGCTGGGCCTTGCCATGTGGTAGGGAGAGGATCCTAGTCCTTCACCCCTCTTGAAGTGAAGGTGGCGAGTCTTAGGGTTCAGCCAGCTTCAGTATAAAACATGTCTCCTCCTCTCATTTACAGATGCAGTGATGAATACTGGGGTCCCAAAGGCAGCTCCTGAGAAGCAGTGAAACAATGAAAGGGCCACAAGCCGCTACTGGAGCCATTGCCATAATGGGGCCGTTCTGCCTCATGTGCAGAATTGACAGATCAGGTACAAAGAGGAGCTGCTGCTGCTGCTTCAATCAACTGAGCTGGCCTAGAGCTCAGGAGCCCTTCCCCTCTCATCTCACTCCTAGTTCATATCAAACGTACATGGGTGCTGCTCTGGAGCCTCCGGCCTCGCTCCTTGTCTGCGAGTGACCTGAAGCCAGGAAAGCCGCTCTCTGCATTCGGTTAGTGTGCTGTGAAGTTAGATGGATCCCAGTGGGCTCAGGAGACTAAAGACTGGAGCGGCACGAGTCCGTTCCCAGGAGACACCAGGAATCTGAATCCAAGTCAGGTTTCGGATCCACTTCCATCTCCTCTTTGGCTGTCTGTGTTCCTTTGGAATGAACCTGCACCTGCCAAAACACACAGCAGTTATCCAAACAGCTCTAGAACTAGCTGCAAAGAAGCTAGCCACCACACAAGGCAGAGTTCCTATTCTCCACAGCCATTTGGGACTCTCCAAGACATCCGACTGCCCATCCCTTCTCACCAGGAGAAATAAAGGGGAACCCCAGGTCCCTCAAGGACTGGACTGTCCTCACAGGAAACCATCTTCTTGGCTTCATTCCTGTTGCTACTACCAGAGCCTGCATCAGCAACTCAAACAAGAGACAGGCACCATGCTCAGTCCCCCCATTCTGCTCTCAGAGGGATGTCTGTTAAGAGCTGCTTCCTTCTGCACAGCCTCCACAATCTACACAGGAGCCAGGATCAGCATAGTCAGCCCTGAGCACGGATGTGCACCCAGGTGATGAGTCCTCACCTGCTGCATTGCCTCCGTCCCCCTGCAGAACCGCTGGAGTTGGGCACTCAGACGAACGGTTTCCTGCTGCAGCTTCTTCTGATCATCCAGACACTGTAAAACCAGGCCTCGGAGGTGCGTCACCTCCACTTGCAGAGCACTGCACATGCAGCCTGCAACAGGAGACGCAGCCTTCCCTTCACCGCACGGCAAGATTGGACTCAGGCAAGTAGGCTGCAGACACATGGATAGAAGTCAGGTCAGATTTGAGTGCAAGGCCAGGAGTTGTATATGCCACAAGAAGAAACCATGCACAGAAAGTGTCACCCCAGTCCATTTCCCGACTTCCCAAACTTCTAGCAGCCAAGGTCAGCAAGCTACTAGTAATTACGTCTTCAGCACAAAGCCACTAACTTCCTCCTTTTTCTGGGAAAGCTGCTCCTGTCCTCCTATTGCAAAAATCCACCTGGTTTGCCCCCCTTTCCCTAAGCCTGGGATTTGTGCATCCTCTTGGGACAGAAAACTACTGGAATAAGGTAGTCTCACAGGTTGTAATTTCTCAGTGATTTCCTCTATCAGTTCTTCTTTCTCTCTCACAGCAATTTCTGCTTTCTAAATTTCTATCTTCTGCTTAGGCTTCTGGGCCCTAGGATTCTTTTTTTTTTTTCCAATTGCATTAACTGCATTTTTCCACAGAACTGATCTCATTATTGTCAATCTGACCAAGCCCCAGCTTTGTGTTCTAGATTCCTGTGAACTGTTCTCTTTGCAGCATCATCTCTGGTTATCAACAGCCCTCTTTTCCTCATCCAGATGAATGAGGCCAATCCAACACCTTCTTCTCAGCTCTCCCCATAATTCAAACATTGCCATTTATGGTCTCCAAGAGCTTTTGGCCAAGCATTCACTTGGAAAACATTACCCAGGGCTCCGTTTTGGGCTTGTTTAATCCAGCAGGTTCCTCAGAGGCCACTTTGAGTCCTTGAAGTTTCTGGTAAGGGAGAGTCTCCTTCTCAGGCTCTGAAGATGCCATGCTCAGAGGGAAGGAGCTGTCAGGCATGGGGATGAATTCAGCATTCTCCAGCTCCTGATTATACAAAAGCAGCACTGTCAGGCCTGCCTGCCTTCTGCAGCTGACTTCATCTCCTCAACCAATGCACCAACACCCTCTTGTGGTAAAAAAAGGCAGCGAGGCCTAAAGGGCTCCCAGTGCAGCACAGCTTGGAGAACCTTTCAGAGCACCCCTTAAAGGTGGAAGGGGCCACTTGCTTTTCCCCAGCCTAGATCCCCATTTTAAGGCATTTCTGAGACACGTTACCTTCCGCAGCCAGCCAGGGCAGGAGCTGCTGTCAGCACTGTTGCCTCCCTTAGCTTCTGTGGTGCTGATCCAGCCGCCCAACTCACGATCTGCTTCCATGGTTCCGCGAAAGCCTCCACTGGGATTGGGGGTCTCTGCTTCCTGTTCATTATCCTCTTCCTCTCCTCCTCCAGTTGTGCAGCTCTGAGCCACTAGCAAACAAGAGTGAAAACTGTACTTTCCCCACCTCTGCTACTCCTGTTGCCGAACCCCAGCTGGAGCAGAGAAGATGCAGAAATTTGGGCTGTATGGCCATGGTGAGAGCACGTGCTAGGGGCACCTCCCTAGCTTATCTCCTAACACTTGCTGCAGGCCTCCCCAAAAGGGCTTGTATGCAGCAGTTTTCTGCGGCTTCTTGGCCCCAGCACTCCCACAGTTCCAAGAAACTGGACTCCCATCTCTCCAGCAGCTGCTCCATAGCCCCCCTTCCCTTATCAGCTCCCTTCAATTTGACAAGGAAAAGCTGAGAGGAATTCACTGAAGTTCCTCAACCACAAAGGCCTTGCTGCATCCATGTTCTTCCTCCTCTGTTTCGTTCTCGCTTTCCCAGCTTTGGGCCATCCCTTCCCATGCACAGCACCAACTAATTTCCTCCCTTTGAGCTCTTCTGCGAGGCCTTTCAAACACAGGACCAAATTGCACCCACTCAAAGTAACCACGGAATGGACTTAAACCACAGCTCCCCAGGGCAGGTTACTCACCAGTACCAATGGACAGGCCACTGCTGTTGGATCGGATTGTTTTAGAGTTTAACACCTTTTCTGCAAGGAGAGAAGCATGCTTTCAGTTAGAGCGCCACGTGGAAAGCAAGACAACTCCTACAAAGGCACACAACAAAGCCAGTGTTGCAGGCCTAGAGCTCAAAGCAGCTTGCCATGTTCCCCCACAGCAACCTGGCCTGTTCCCAGGCAGGATTTACACTAGGTACTGGCAAGGAATACATCATCATGACAAACCCCCCCAAATTTCATCCTGAATTTACACTTACCGACAATGATGATGGTGTGCCAGCCACGGCATGACAGGTCTGGAACGTGATGCAACGACCCAAATATTGGCCGAGGCCACGAGGTACAAATATCTGAGCCGTGAGCTCTCTCAGTTGATGTCATTGCCAGACGCCCATTCCCGCCATTACCCCAGGCAAAGATATGGTTGTCTGAGGAAAGAGAGAGTCAAGAACCGCAATTCCCTCCCTCCCTCTTGGCCTGTAATTGCTATGAGGATCGCAGCCTCCCCACTGTAACTGCTATCCCGAAGTATCTGATCCACCAGCTCCATTCTGCCAGTGGACAAACTGGTAATGAATCTAACAGGCAGCCACCAAGCCAGCACTCTGCAGCCCCAGGACAGCAAATGCTTGGCGCTGCACTAGGACAACTAACAGGTCCAGGACAGCCCCAGCCTAGGAGGATTTCTTTATTTCAGCACAGTGCTGTGGAGGCGGTCTAGGAAATGACCAGTGTGAGCCAGTTAACCACCCTGCAGATCCAGTTCAAAGGAACCCACCACAACTTGGCAAAGACCCACTCACCGTCAGTAGCAGCTATGGTGAATTCATCTCCACATGAAACCCTGATCACCTGCTTACCCCCCAAGGGGCCTCCCAGCAGGTTAATTCCCAGGTGCTTCTTATAGTCCCCAACACCAAGCTGTCCGCACTTGTTGGAGCCGAAGGTCAGCAGGCGGCCTCGCTCTGAGAGGAGGAACGAGGAGACAGTCACAGCGAGGGCCCAACTCTGGAAGCAGCCAGGCATGCAGAAAACTAGCAGCAACAGCCCATGACCAGGAAGGACTCTGCTGAGAAAGCCAGCCAGGCTGAGAGGGGCCAGTGATAGCCAAGAGGAATGGCTTCAGCCTGGAAACACCTTCCCAGCTCCTTCTCCTGTTGCTCCCCTTTGCTGATGCTGGGGGCTGGGATTCCTCACAGCCAGATCTGACTGGTGTCACTTGGGCAAAGCCTAACTCGGTCACAAACGATTCCTCTGCTATCCCAGAGCATAATTCTTCCCCAAATATTTCTTTTTTTCCTTTAGAAAAAATGAAGGCTGACCCAGAAGCTGATGTTGCTGCTTCAGCTGGTCAGGAGGCAACACTGCTGAGGAACAGGAATCCTGGATTCCTGGAGCAGGCATGAGCCCTGATACCAAGAGCAGAACCCTCAGTGTCAAGGGCCAGGCTGAAAGGCCAAGGCTAATGTAAAGTAATCCAGCAACCAGTATTCACTTCTTAATACATAGGGCTCACCATCAATGGAAGCTGTGTGTGTCTTCCCTGGAGAAATGGTACGGATCTTGTAGAAGGACAGCTGCTTGGCCAAAGTAAGGGAAGTGGCGTATGGCACCTCACAGTATGTCTGAGAAAAGACATGTGGGAAAGCACAGAGTGAAAAACACACGTTTGTCAGCTAAGATTAACTCAAGCAGGTCTTGGCAGACCACAACATTAACCTAGACAGTCCCAACACAGGTATGGTAAAGAACTGCCAGAATCCATGTCACTGTCTAAGTCACCTAAGCAGCTCGCTATCTGTTTCCCTACCTCAGATCTGACGTAAGCCCATAGGGCTGACAGGAAACTGAGGAACAAATTGCCTCTTCCCACAATCCCAGTATCTATTGTCTTGGACTGGAACTAACAAATTGGCACAAAGCTAATGAATGCTTTGTCACTGTCACAGGACCTCCATTTCCCCATATGCTACTGACTGCCGGGAGCTGGAGCCAGGGACCAAACACACTTACGTCATGGTTGATTATCCCTGATGTGCACTGATTCAGGCCCAGCTTGTTGAACTCGTTGAGTCCACATGCCAACACTTTGCCTGTCTGGGTGAGCAGGAAAGTCCCATCACAGCCACAGTGAACAGACACTATGTTTAAGGTCTTCGGAACATCCACCTATGTTGAAGAAATATATCCCAAGAAACTCAAAATCCCAACACCTACTACACAGAAGCTAGCACATGGAAAATATATGGGGCTAGAGCAGTGGTTCAGCTCATCTGGGCACTGACAATAGCTGATGCAGCTATTTTGAATGAAGGTGCAAGAATGTCATAAAGTCTACTGCCTAAAGCACACTGAAACTCCGGTCACAATGCAGAAATTCAAGGCATTCTAGACCTTATGTGCAAACATGGATGAGCCAGCACAGGAACCAGAAATGTGGTGCACAGGCATCCTGGCCAGCTGGGGTCTACAAGCACCAGACCCAGTCAGCTGAGCAGGGCTGGGTCTGTGATGTGTGTGTGCGATACTGTGTGATCACAGATATTTGGCTTCCAGGCACGTCCTTGTTCGTTTCTAACCCCTAATGGGTTAGATTACCTCAATTACCCCTAGCACCGTATTTCAAGAGGGTTTTACTTTCAACTCATCTTTAACTCATTATGTCAAAGGCTCCCAGTTGTTTGTGCTGTTGCGAGTTTTCTCCAACAGACCCAAGGTATGCAATTTGGTATTTCCTACTATGCTTTCTACAACATTAAGTTCGACATTCCCAGTTCCAGCTTGGAGATGAGAGCAGTGAAACTCTAAGTCATGATGCTGCCTGGTTTGGAAGCAGCATATCCCTCTGCCATGATCTCTATGGACAAATGAAGCAAAATAAACTGAGGAAGTAAAGTTAAAACCTTTGCAAACTCTGTGATGCCTCAGAAAAGACACCAGTGCCTCAGACAGTTAATATTTCCAACCAGCAACTAATTCGGATTTATGCTCATGCAGATTTTGAGAAGTAGTCGTCACAGCCCTACCTTCTGAGGGGTGTAGTGATCTTCTTCTGAATCCAAGCCCAAGCGCCCTGCGTCAGTGAAAACGCTGCAGTTAGAAATAGCCTCGCAAGGTGCCTGCCCCCAAGAAATGGTATTGCCTCTCCATAGTTCCAAAGGACTCTCCCTACAGAACTAGAAGCCTGCTCCCCTGCATGGATCATTGCCTGCCAATCCTCAAGGTAATCCAACCCCATGCACAGAACAACTGCCCTACCCACAAGGAAGCCAAGCGGCACCCTAGAACTTCCCAGAGTAAAGTCCCAAGGGCTCAGTCCCCAGTTACCCATTCTTACAAAGAAAGAAAGCCCCAAAGAAACAATGTTCTTTGCTCCCAGGACATACCAGACAGCCCTCACCCAGGCCCTGCATTACACACCTGCACCAAGCCACTTTCTGGAGTGGGCATGCCCCAGTGCCTTTAGGTTCCAGGGAGACTACCTACCGTACTCTCCACAGCCCCATGTGTAAACTTCTCTGTTCCTGGTCAGCACTGCCACATGGTTATCTCCACACGAGACCTGCTCCACAGGGTTGGTAAGAAAGAAATCCAGCTGCAGGGGCTCAAGCACTTCAGAGCCATAAGCCTTGTCAACGCCAATGCATCCATAATAGTCTGAGCCAAAGGCATACACCTGGCCCTCATCTGAAGGACACAAAGGAAGCTCAATCAGCACACAGAGCTCGTATTAACCTGCATATTAACCTCTTGGGAAACAGCCAGAGCAACCTCTTTTTTGTAATCCTCCTCCTCTTTAGGGCAGAAGAATGTCATCAGGAGAATATGGAGTCCTTTCTTGTTCACATTAAGATGGATGACCTTGCACCACAACCCACAGCTATTTCAGGTCACCATTGTCAAAAAATCTGGGGTTGAACCCGCCACTAACAGAAACCCACAAATTGATCCTGTGGCTCCCTAAGTCACTCCTCCAGCACACTGAGCATCTGAGCTTATCTCTGTCAAACCTCTGCTTTTCCAGCACTGGCAAAATAAGCTGGAAACTAGCTTGTTGAGAATTATGTTTTCATGGGTAAAAGCAAGATTCAAATTCTTCCATAACAGACAGTATCACAGTTAACACATCTTTAAAAGTACAAGCAGGGTTAGAACTAGACACAGCTACCAGGTCTCAAGCTTTCTGAACTAAATAGCAAATCTCAGATACACGTTTTCTTTTATCATTGGTTGACTTTCCCCACACAGTCCAAAACGAGTTTAAAACACATTCGCATTCTTGACTTCAGGCTCCTCTGTCTTTAATACGGGTGTGTATGGAGGCAACACATGCACTGGTAAGAGCAGGGACTCTGCACAGCCACAAGGAGCTGTGCTCGACACTCAGCTTTGTCACCAAAAAGGTGATCATCATCCTAGCCTCCTTGGGAGTCAATACCTTCCTCTGTATAACAACATTGATCTATCTCCACTACCACACCTACTATCCTCAAAACTGAGTGGTGAGGAACATACAGGACCTTCTCCTTTGTGCACAAAGCTGCTCTGCTAATCTTATTGTGAAGGCAAACATCTCCACAGCACAACAAAGTGAGGGGACGGTGGTGCCCTTCCAGCCCTCACCTGTGATGCACACTGTGAAATCATCTCCACAGGACACCTGGCGAATGGCTTTTCCCTGAAGCTTCTCAACGTGCTTTGGCTGCCGGTAGGAGGCTCTGTCTCCATGTCCCAGCTGCCCGTGCAACTTGGTGCCCCCTTGCATATTCTGCAAGACAAACATCCAGTAAGGTTATGTATCCACAACTCCAGAGATGGCGCCAATAATTACTGTACCTCGAATGAATGAGAGAAGACAGCGAAGAGCAAGAGAAAGTGCGTTAGCTACCTTAGGGAAGAGACTGCTGTCTGCTGTGTGGCATAATGGCAGGCAACATTCTAAACGGCAGCACAGGCTTTCAGGCAGTTATGCACTAACAAGAAGTGATCTGGTGTCAGGCCACCAGCGAGTGAGGAATCCCTGCTCCTTCCTCATCTGCCAGGCTACAGAACCCACTCCCTGCTGCAGGACTGAAATTCAGCTTTTTGACCTACATTTCTAAATCCTAATGGCTGCAAAGAAACCCATAACACGGAACAAATGTCACTGAAGTGGCCAGACCTACGAATTTTACAGGAAAAACAAAACAACTCTGAGTAGTGTTGAAGCTAGAATTAAAATATTAATAGCCAGCTGAATGTTTTCAGTGGTAATTCTTGCAGGTATATCCAGCAAGTGACTTCAAGTTGCTCTCCTCCCATTTGGATTTTTTTCCTCTCTCACTCACCTACCAGTATTTTCTAACCTGTCTTAACAGATTCTGTTATCATTGATACAAAAGCCTGTGGAAGTCTGAAGATGCAGAATACCTCCATGTCACTGACCATCTAAGCCCAAGAAGGCTGGATTCTAATTAAATATGTCAACATTTTTTATTCACTTTAAACTATTCAAGAATTTCCACTCATCATAAAAAGCAGAGTTGTTTAGTATAAGACATCTCTGGTTTCATCCATAAGTTGCCTCACAGATGACATCTGTATTACAGCAAGGTCACTCATCCCACCCATACCAATCTCAGAAAACCTTCCTCAAAAATACACAAGCCAACAGAGCATCACAAAAAATCCAGTCAGTTTCTTGTAGTCAGGAAGGGGAAGAAGAGACGTTTGACTCGGTGTCTGGGCCTACAAGTCCACCACCTACAATCCTCAAGTGCACAGCAAGTCTCCAATACGCTTCCTGTCATGATGGAAAACTTCTCTCAAAACCACACTTGCCTTGGCAGACTTGGGTCAGCCCTGAAGCAGATGGCCTCAAAGTGTCTGCTGCAATAAAATTTCTTCTTTTCTGAGCTGCTTGCCCATCTGATTCTACCAGGCTCATGAACCAGTCAGCCCCGGATCTGGACTCTCCTCTCCCACCCTTACCCCCTTCCTGCAGTTTCTCTCACTTACCACCCAGGTGTAGAGCTCCTTCTCCACTGTCACCACAGCAAAGTGAGTGTTACCAGCACACACCTGGCGTGCACTGCAGCCACTTTTGATGGCATCCAGCTTCTGGGGGGTGGACTTCCCGCCCCCCCAAACATACACCTCACTAGTGCGCGAAGTCACCACTGCAATGGGAGCCTCATTCATGGTACTTGACCTGCACAAGACCCCCCCCCAGAACACACATGCTTTTAATAATGAGTTTGCGTTCACTGTCATCACTAATTTTCCTACTGTTGTCTATCAGTTTCCTCTTCACAACCATTCATGGCTTTTATTTTCACAAACTGTTCTCTTTGTTGGGTGGTTGTGAGGCCTCAACTGCTACAGACAGACTCAGGATCAAACCAGTCTCAGCACAGCAGAGAAAGCAGCCTCCAGGAAGCATTTTAAAAAGCCTACAACCCAATTTTATGTCATTTTAAAAGATTGGGCTTTCACTGAATGGCCATGGAGCTGTACTCATTTGTGAAAAATGAAAGCCTTACTAACGGTCATGCAATCTTGCTCAAAATACAGAAACATCCATAAGCTTCTAACTTCCCTCTCTCTTTATTTAAATCACAGGCTTCCACCTGAGGGCAAAAATATAACTCTTCAATGCAGGTAAGAATCAATTCGCAAGCAGCTTGCAAAATGGAAGTTGTAATCTAAGCAAACTGTTGTGAGTAACCCATCAACTGAAACAACTTCACATAAAGTGCTCAGATAGTAATTCCAAGTTTGTGAGGGAAAAAAAAGGTGAAATTCTATCTGACAAATCAACAGAAAAACAGCTATACATGTCACGGAAGCTATCTGCTTCACGGAGCAACCCTGCTTACAGGCTTGCTGGAGATTGTGGAGAACCTCTGCATATGTCCAGTTTTATGAAAGATATTCACATTCATTTAATATTCAACATTCATGCAGTCATATTCTTCCTGCTCAAGGGACTCTGTGTGAAAGGAGGGATCTATACTACATCCTCAGATATGTAGGCTGTAAAGACTACATATCTCAGCAGGACAGATCAGAGCCATATGGGACCTGCTGAGGTAAGGCTCCAGCCATACATATAAGCAGGACATAAAAGGCAGACTAAAACGTGGGACAATAACCACATAACAACTGTGTCAAATTCCAAGCATTTAGGGATCTTCTAAACTCTACACTATTCCATTAAGGTTGTCACAGACTAACACTCTCAGCAAAGTTCCTCTCTGGGGAGCTGTTCTCTCCAGACCTTTTAAACACACGCCCAAATAATTACCTTGGTCGCTTATTTGGCCCATTAAGCAGTGTGACTTTCTCTTCCATCTCCCTGCCAAAGGAGAAAAAGCAGTTTAGGAAACAGTAACATCATCCAAAGCAATTTACTGACAAGCAGCACACACAGACCACTTTCCTTTCCACTAAAATGCTGCTCCCTCTTGGAGGCAGCTGTTTACCAGCTCACAGCAATACACAGTAAGTAGGGCAGAAGTAACGAACCATATAGCTAAAAAACTTCCAGGAGAGCTGAAGACAACAAACTACATGTATACCAGAATGTGGCCAACCAGTATACATATTGCACAAGAATGACCTTAAATGGCTAAATATTACCAGGCTTTGGGCTTTTACCAGTGCACACAGCAAGACAAAACTCAAACTTTACTGATCGCCAAGTAAAAGAATCTTGGTGTAAAGGACTAAGTCTGCTGTCCCCGAAGCAACCAATGTGGGATCCAGACAGTCCAGAATTATGGCCCACCTTTCATAAAAAAACCACTGTGTGCAGGGTGATGGTCAAACCGAGCAAAAACGGGCCACTTTCAATGCAACTCTCTCCAGAAGAGGGAGGCAAGAAAAGGAGAAAGTGAGGGTCTCTATATTGCATAATGTGTATCTTTTGAAAGGCCTTTTCCAATGGCCACAGGAGGATCTCTGTGACCCTTCGTTCACAGAGATTTGAAGAGCAGGATCCAGCATTCCTCAAAGAAGCCTCAGAAAGGGATGCCTCAAGGTTCTCCATACAACAGCTTCTAAAGCAAAGGATGCAGAGACCTTTCTTACCATACCCATGCACCAGCAGAACACAGGGGTTGATCAAGAAAACAAGACAGCAAGAACGCACTTCTCTCCTAAAGAGGATGAAGCGTACTTCAACAACTGCCTCACATCAGGCCAAATTAACTTAACGACTTTGCTACAAAAGCATAAGCGCCACTAGTCTGCACGAACCCTCCTGTTCTCCCTGACACCTGTCCAGGTTTCAGGCAAGACCATCTCATTACCTCCTGCGTTTGCTGAGAAGGGGATGTTCAAGCAATTCATCTGCCGTGGGTCTCTTCTCTGGATCCTGAAAGAAGCGAGCAACAAGTCATTCTCTGGGAAATGCTCATCATCTATGATGACATCTTGGGCCTCATTCAAGCCTGCACGGACCTCCTTCCCTGACTCCGTTCAGAAGGGAAAGGAATAATTCAAATATTTGGAATGAATAGGGATAACTGCCAAGGATGTGCAGGAGGGAATTCCATGCTCTGAAGGTATCAATACTATGTTTGTTTTTAAGAAATTAACTCCCTGCAGAAAGCCAGTCACAGTCAGAAAGTCAGATCCTTAAGAGACTGTACTGAGACAATGCTCCCACCGCTGCAGCACTAGATTAGAAAATAATAGCTTCAGCCCATTAAATAATCGTTGTCAGAGTAAATCCATCACTCCTCCAGAGCCTGCAGGACTGGATGGCATCTTGAGACCACGCTTTCAGAGGACTGGAGGAAGACCAGCCTTAGTGATGCCTCACACCTCACAGAAATTACTTTGCATCAACAGCCCTCATGCTGAAAAGAGGCATGTCATTCCCCTTCACCCCTGAATTCCACGGCTTAGGCAGCTGGGAAGGGGTGTCTGAAAATTAAAAAAGTATTTTGCCAACCTGATCAAGGCAGGAATTCACCATCTGGATCAGCTCCCGGGAGTAGACAGTGGAATCAACCTCCATGGCGCGATTTCCCTGTACAATCTTTACACAAAGGTTCAGGGGATTCTAGGCAGAAACCAGAAACCAGCTGTAAGGGAACTGAACTGGACAACGTGCCCAATGGGGAGAGATGCTAGGGGCCACCATTATTTATTTCCTCCTTCTCTGATCAGGACACATCCTTCTTCCCTGCTTGGTAGGTTCTCCAGAAACGTAATAATAATTGCTACAGAAACTTCTGATAGCTAGAACTTGGTGGCAACATCCAGCTTTTCACCAAATTCCCTAACAGTAGAGGGAGGACAGGTTTCTCTCTGCATGGAATCTCCTATGCAGCACATTGCCATTGAAACACCACACAGCAGCAAAGTCACTGGGGACTCGGTAGCCATGGTGAGAGGAAGTCGGAAAGGACGGTATTTTCACATCAGCTCTTTAAAGGTTACAAAATCTTGCACCATGGCATCTAGCAGCTTTTCCCACCTCATGGCACAAGCTAGCAAAACACATATGCCAGCCAGCAATGCTCCCTTTCACCCTCTCCATGACAGCTTGAGCACATTTCTCTTTCACCCAAACTTTGAGAAAGGGTAACAGGATTAAATCCTATGAAACCCAGAAGCTGGAACTTTTTGCTACCGAATGCTGCACAAAAAATTCACAGCTAGTAATGCTGAAAAAAACAGAAAGACTACACAATTACAAATTTTCTCCATATAGAGGAAAGGATGTCTCATTCACAACCATGATACAAATTAGCACAGCTTGTGTTCTGCATCTGGTAAACCCAGGGCTGCAGACAAGGGTGGGTTTGGCAGAAGCCAGCAAGGCACCTGCAGTGCAGGGTAGGGGAAATCATGCAGACATTTTCTCTGGCTATAGTTGGCGCTCACATGCCACCATTTTCTTAATCAGTAGATTTAAACAACTGTGAAAGGAAAACGTGAGTTAAGAAAGCTATGGGCCAAGTGTGAATCTCGGGGTGATAAAAAATAAGGTTACTCAGTCCATCCTGCTTTGCAGGCTTACCGTAGCATCAAAGGTCCTCTTCAGAGTAAGCAGCTCAAAGATGACACAGCCCACAGCCCAAATATCTGATTTGAAGTTGTATTTCACACCCTGGCAGAGTTCTGGGGACATGTAATACGGAGTTCCCACCAGCTAGGAAAAGTAACAGTTAAAAATCAGAAATGATACAGCAGCCTTCAATTCAGCAGCTCTGCATCCATCATGTTCACATGGGCCCACGAGCATCACAGCCAGACACAGCACTGACACAGCACTGAAGTGACACAGATGACACACCCTACCAACATGCTGGAGGGATGGGAATGAGAAGCACATTTCTTCCCTTCTTGTCCACGAGCCTCAGCCTGCATTTCTTAGAAGATCCCAGACATCCTCTCTGCTGAGATCCTGATGTGGTGTACATCAATAGAGCAGTAGTCACAAGAACGCAGCAAGGACTTGCCCCTCTCTTAAATATACTACATTTAGAGGCAATCAGGGGCGTATGTACTGACCAGGTATATGGAAGCCCTCAGAAGAGGTTGAGGGAAAAGGGATCTAGCAAAGCTTCCAAACACAGATGCCAGCCCACAGCTATGGAGCC